CCCGCCCACTCACTACTACTACCACCACCACACACACACACACAAACATAAACACATTCCATTTCCAAACAATATGAATCAAACTGGAAAGCCTACAAACTTCGTTTATTGGTTTATTTCTACTCAGAACTACAGGCGATAGGTTGTATCAAAACAAAAATTAAGAAGGCGATGCATTTTAGAAGAATAACAGCTAAGTTGACTTCAGTTGCTAGTCGCCATTGCTGTTATCTGTCTGTATCGCTCACTAACGTTACTGATAGCCGTCGGTCTCTTCAAGCAACGGTTGCCAGAAAATGTTGCACCTTCTGACAACACATCGACGAAAATAGCAACTTGTAAAATAGTTTAAGCATGGACTGAAGCATTGCTGTCATAAAACATCTGACTTACTGGAGAAAAACGCGATGAGTGCCCTCTCTTTCTCCTCAGTCCAATATCTCTCTGGAGAAAGGCTGAACGGAGACACCTCCATATTTGTTGTTGCCTTTGGTCACTATGTCACATGACCACAATGCAGGCTCTCATTGGCTGATTTCAGGCTATTCCTGAACAGTAACACGCATTGCCCAGTAGAGGTCACCGTCTATTGTTCAGTGAAGCTGTTGCCAAAGTGTCAATGCACATATTTACTTCTATTCCAAATTTAGCATCAAATCCGTGTGATGTAAATCGGTTAGCAATTTAAACAAACATGATTTGAAATTAAAACATTTGCAATTATGTCATACATTTAAAAAAAATAATTTATTGTAATTACAATCAATGTCAAGACTCAAAATTGACCTTGGAAACCGCGGTTGACAGCCTCACTACAAAGTTCTTTAATAACTGTTCTGGTGCTTTCATTAATTTTAAGAATTAACTTTTTTTTAACCGACATGAAGGGAAAGTCCTTAATGTGCACTGAAAAAAGGAAATTTGAAAGTGTACAATTCTACTGTATAATAACTGGTTAATTTCATCTCCTGAGAAAGATCATGTGGCCAAATACAGTTGGAAGGCTCATAACAGCAACTTCTGTAATGAAAAATGTGTTAGGACTGTCAGCCTCTGTGATAGTTATGGTTAAGTAATGGTAATACTAGTTATGTATTGTATTGTAATGTAATCATAATAGTAGTGAAAGTTAAGTAAAACTCACTAATATATCCACTTTTTATCCATGTATTCAGATCTCTTTAGAAGTAAGCCTTTCTTGCATGACTTAAACTGCCTATCAAATTTTACTTAATGTTAGTTTTCCACTGAAGTCCTGCACACGGTACAACAAAACAAACACTATATATATTTTCTTTTTTTCAGTTACATAAGACATATAGAGTCTGGAGAAAGGGAAGTCTGGGCATCTTTGCTTAGACTGCTGCCCCCGCGACCCGGTTCCGGATAAGCGGAGGAAAATGATATAGGCTTACAATAGCAGAGATGAAATACCGTAAAATAGTATAGAAATAGGTTGCTTTCAGGAGAATGCCAGGATATAAACAATAACCAACTTCATGCAGATGCAAATTGTTGTTCTCTTTTAATTTCCAACAACAACTGGCTGGTACACTTCCAGACAAGACAACAGACACTGTATTTACAGTACAGTAAATCCCCATGTACATTTCATTTCTTTACATGTACAATATTTACACTGCTGTGTCGGCTGTACTGCTGCAGAACTAACTGAGTGAGTGCAGCTCTCAAATAACAGTGCTTATATGTACACTAACATCCTACTTACAATCTGGGTTTTGGAGTACTGGCTCATATAAACATCACATTCTGGTTACATAGATCTGGATTATCATTCATCTTGGTTTTCATGGGATTTGGGTTATTTTAAAAGATACAGGTATACTTATGGAAAAAGAAGAACATTTCAAATGAGCATGACAGCAAGCTTGGATGTCTGTCATTATGGTAAGCAAATTAAACTTGTCTTCAAAACCCAAAACAACACTGGGATTAGATGTGAGAGCTCACTAAAATGCAGATCTATTAAAGTCTACAAGACAAGTTGCAGTTTAGTTGAACTGATCCACCATGATTAAAAGTTTTGTTAAAAAAAGAAAAAGTAAATGAATTGCAGTGATATGAATAAGCCACTCCTCTTTGTTTTGTCTAAATTTTATGTCCCAAATATGAATACAGCATAAGATACTAGTGTGCATGTAAACATACTCAGGTGTAAATACCAGAAGAAGTGGGGATTGATTTGTCTATTTTATAGTATAATCTGAACGAACACAAACAACCAAAAGCAGAATAATCGTTGGTCTTATGTAATGGTATAGCTGCAAAGGGGAACTGAAGCCCCAATCCAGACTGTGTAAGTGCCACTGAGCTAGAGTACACTGGACTGACAACAGAAGGAAAACCACAATATACAAGCCAATCCCACACTTCACTTACATTATATACAAATCATAATATAATTCACATGTACATTTACATTTTAAGGTCATAAAGCAAAGAAATGTGTCACTTATATGCTGTAACGTTTAAGTGTTCAGCATTAGTTTCTAAGTCTAAAGCTCTCATAAAATCTCTGTTTCAAAAATAAGTTCATTCATAGGAATATCATTGCTGTCAGGGAATAACCTCATAACTGCAACATATGAAAAATTAATTACTGTCCAGACCACCTCAGTGTTAGTTTCTAAAATCATACAGTGAAGGACATGACATACTCTTAACACACAAACTGCCAATGAATCTCATAGCTGAAGGATAAACTAGATCTGTAAGAAGGTATACTAGGGTTCACCCACCCAGCGCAACTTGGAATCGAAGGCACATTGACCTTAAGCAATCACAGCCAGAAGCAGAAGAGGGTGGGGCAGTAGATGACATCATTGCACTGTAGAAACTCAAGTAATGGTAGAAATTGATTTTTAAAGAATGAAAAAAAGGTCATGTTTTTTGCAAGTTTGGTATCGTAATACTGAAGGATGTACATTATGTACAACATTGCACACATGATAATCATTTTGAGGATCCACTGGTGACTTGGAGCTAAAAATGATCATAAGGTGTTCAAAAATGTCTCACAGTACCACCTTTTGCCCAATTAGGACCAAATGGATATCCACTCCAAAACTGATGATATTTAAGCTACGTTCACATTACCTGCTGAAGTGACTCAAATCCGACTTTTTCCCGTCCACTTGGCTCAGATCAGATTTTTTCACTGATGTCTGAACAAACAATCAGATTTTTTAGAATCAGATGTGGGACACTTATCCAATCTCTGACCATGTGACCGCTGTGAGCACAGTCAGTTCGTCATCATTCAGTGTAGGCCCATCACAGACGTGAAGATTAATTAAACATTAAACAATTAATTAAACATGAAGAAACAACGACAGGTCAGTGGAGAGAGGAGGACATTTCACACTTGTTGGACATTTAGGGATTCTGGGATTAACCCCAAAAATGAAGGAGCAGTTTTTGAGATCATTTGACTGTTGCAGAAATGACATTATTGTTATTCTCGTATAGCTACAGCCCACATTTCAGGTACATCTTCACATGGCAGTTTAGGTTAACAGTGTTCAAACACAGAGCTGGATATACAGTATGTCCTCACAAACATGAATGTGACCACACAAAAAGATAGGATCTGTCAAATAATAATAATAGAATTTGAGCATTAAGGCCTGCACTGTAAATGTAACTTTAAAAAATGTAATCCTGAGGTACAATAGGAAAAAAATGTGTTACAATGCCAGTAACTTTTGCACTTGCACCAAAATGGAGAATGTATTGTGAGGTAAGTGTTATTCTGTTATTAAAAAGTTCACATTTGTAACACTTCCGGCTGCAAAACCACTTTTTACTGAAGAAAAAAAAAACTAATCTGAGCACACCATTGGTGCTCAGTCTGCTAACAACTTAAATACTAGAGGTGCAGGTTTTCCCACTGCCAGCAGCACTTTCATAAAGTGACTCTGATATAAAAGATTTAAAAAATGTGATTTAATATGAGTAAATAAAGGTTCTGTGGGATTTAAAAACAGGTTTATCTGAGGTAGAATGACAAACAGAAACACTAACTGGTGAAATTAGGAGTAAAAACTATCAAATGAGGTGTCCTAAATCTACAATTTTTGGGCCTTTTACCAATGCATTTTCTATTTCTTGTTCGGGATTTAAAAAAAAAAAAAAGAAAGAAAAAAGAAAATACTTGGCCAAGAAAATAACAGAGATTAAAACCGGTACTTTGGCACACAGACCTTGTTAGCATCGATAGCTCATGGCAGGTAAGATACTGTACACTTAAAAGAATAAAGATCCATTAACACTGCCAAAAAGAAACAACTGTAATAGAATATTCCTCAAACTACAAAATAAGAGTATAAATCCAAAGTGACGTTTTAGCTGCTGTAAATGTATTGCAGACATGTTTCTCTTTGTACAACAACCAGAGAGCTGTTTCACAAAACCTAGATAGTGGATTAAGCCAAGATTTTCTAGTTATCCTGAATGAATTTATCCATGACTCAGTTTTCCACACACACACACACACACACACACACACCAACACACATGTAGCCTAAAAATAATATGGGAAATGATTTAAAATGTCAAGTTCAAGGAATTGTATGGTCATCAATTATCAACCTGGAAGTGGAACCATATAGGCCTACTTTTCATTTAAAAATGTCTGTTCATGAATTACTTCAGTCTCATTCACATGTGCAATAATATTACATACAGTAGGCTATACTAAATATAAGACTGAAATAAAAAGAAATAGCTATTTATTAACAATATCAATGAGGTATCAGTCACCCAAAACAAATCTATGTGTTACGCTCTACTTGCTGTGGATTTATTAAGTTTAGATATTAGCTGACAACAAGTATTAGGTATGTATGAAGGAACAGGCTACATTTCACTAAATTTGTATCACCCAGATTTCACTTTTGTAGAATGAAACATATTTGCACCTTTAGGTTGTGGATTAGTGGCTGTAATTAATCTTCATGGTGTAATTTCTGACTAACATATGGTTTCAGTTAGGAACAGTGGTTAGTAAATGTATATTTTAGGCATCTTAATGCATTCAGTTGGTCCACTACCGCCTGTCATGCTTCTTTTATTACAGCAGCCTTGTTTGTTTTTATAAATTATGTGCTTGAATTCCCCATAAGCCTCTTTGATGCTTAGTGGGTCTGAAATATGTCGCACGTGTCTTCAATGGGTGCGCTCAAAAACCTGACCAGTATGGTGCCGTTTGTGCTGGTCGGGCGGGGTCTCATTTCATTTTAATGACAGCATCAGTGAATCTGTGATCAACCTCATGGTCTGTTGAAGAAAGCAGTCAATGTGCATTCATCTGAATTACTTACACCCAGCTGTACCTCCTCACCCTGGCTTAGCTGTAGGGACACGTATTAAGTCAGGATGCACGTAGTAGACTAGGTCAAACCTTGTGTTTTTTATGTTATCCAAGACTTCTTAATTCTGCTTTTGTGAAACAGCCCTCAGTAGGAAACGAAACACATCATTAAGTACAGCTTCAAAATGATACAGCTGAAGGTAAGAAAACCTTTTCTCTTTTATCACAAAAACAAACTCCACCTTCAAGCTTTAAGATGAACAGTAATAATCCTTCTATGGAAAACTGAAACACACTTATAGTCTCTGTTTTTATGAGAGCTTATCCCAAAGATCCTGCACCCATATGGGATATCCCTTAAAAAATAAAAACATCAACAAAAAACCCCCACACATTTGGCCCCTCCTTTTATCAAATGATGGTTTCCTCCTCCAACATTCAGGTGTGTCACACATTCAGGTGTCCAGAGACTTGTCAGTTCTATCAAATTGTTTCCATTTAAACTGTGTTGTGCCCATTGCCTCAGCTGTCTCCCTGTCAATCAGATAACTGTTTTCATCTCCTCTGCCCAATCAGACACTCACATCTTATTTGCAGTTCTTTGCTAACAAGTTACCTTGTTAAAGAGGCATCCTTATTGGTTGCTCTCAAGATGTTGCTGCTTCTGCTTCTAGTCAGTGAAGGTATATGTTAGTCCTGCCTTTTGGCAAAAAAAAACAAACAAACAAACAAAAAAAAAACCCCTGAAGCTTCTCACTGTCACGAGGTTCTGAGGATTAACTACACATAGTCACACCCTACGACAAAGGAAATGTGTTACTGGTTCTTCGTCTTTGCTGCAAAATGTCACTCAGTCAAACCACAATGTTAGCCACAACCTCTATGGTCCTTCTACCTGTCCGTCAAACGATACTGTCCTGCAGCAGTGGCTCAAAGTCCTCGTTGCTGGTGGTGGGAGGGGTCTCCTCGTCGCTACCGGGGAGGGGCGTGTTGATGTGGACGCCAGCCAGTGAGGACATGGACTCTTTGTTGTCTGGGTGGGACTTGTCGCTGTTGGACAGCTGGGAGGAAGAGGAGGAACCGGAGGGCTTCTCAGGGATGAAGAGGGCGACAAGAAAGGCAATGACCACAGTACATGCCCCCAAGAGAAAGGGTGGGCCAGGGATGAGCGCTCGCTGACAGAGAGAGAAAACAAGTAGAAAGTAAAAAACTAACAGGAAAGTACTGAATCTACCTACAGACTAAACAAACCACTTCAGTGTTACACCACAACACTCATCGCTTTCTTTTCTCCACCACTCTTTTGCTGCAGTAAACTAATGATAGAGTCTGTTCATACTAACACAACAATCCCTGCATATGTTTTAGAATAAATAGGTTTTAATGAGAAGTAGTGAGTGGTGGCAGATATGTTATGAAACCACCACAGGAACGGATGACAATGCTAGTGGCTTTATCTGATCAGTGCTCGACTCTCTAAAATGCATCTTAAGCTCTAGACATTTTTCAGCACAACAACAATGAAATGGATCATTATAACATCACGGACAAGTCACAATGAAGGAAAGCAGAGCAGAAAACAGTACCTCAGTGGGACTGGGCAGCGGCAAGGGGTCGATAGTGTAATCACCCTGGATGGGGTCCATGGTGCTGAGCTCAACATTGAAGAGGAAGAAGATGAATCCATACAGAGCTGGACCCAGACCATTACACAGACCTCTGATTCCTGTGATCATCCCCTGGACCACACCTGCAGAGAGATGAGGCAGGTCATACTACTGCTGACACAGTGAACACTATGTGCTAGAGCTGAGTATTGGCAAGAATCTGGTGATATGATACATATCACGACATGGGGGTTACAATGCAGTATATTGCGATATATTGTGACACTGTAATTGCGATTATTAGAAATAAAATCTAATTCTAGAAAAAGTGTCATAGAATAAATAGCACAGCACCATATACATAAAGTTTCCTGGAAAAAAAAAAGTTTACTTTTTTTTAGCAATCAGAACAAGGATCTGCACTTGCATTTGCCTCAGTCCCTGTAACATCCAACACCATCGCAGTGCTGCTCTTGGAGGAATGCCACAACAGCCCTTGTTGATCATATGTATTATTCTTCAGTGCAACCTGGTCCACAGTGTCCTATTCTGTCAGTTTAACTGATTATATTCATGACCGTGAGGCTGTGGTTATGATGGCGATGTGTTCAAAATGCTCCAAATGCCAAAAAACCTTTTACAAAACTTTCCTGTTGTTAGTCTTTTCATTTGTCTCACGTTATTACTCTACGATCAAGTTGATCACAGAGCTGCTCAGCCCACAAGTACAACATACAGATGTGTATCATTCACACTTAGCAGTGGGGTGATCCCTTTAGACTATAGCAAAATGTGATACACTTAGATTAGCTTGTCACATGCCTCAGTCTACTACTGATTGGGTTTCATGTTAGAAGTTAGAGACATACAGTACATATACTGCATCTTTCTCACCAAAACAACATCCTACACTATTAACCAAACTCATTCATTCCATTTAGACATTTCTGTCAAGTGTTCTACAACAGTATAGGTAATAGGCACAGTAAATGATACACATAAGTGGAGAAATCGACTATTAGTTTGGCTGTGGAATAGTGCCAAGGTTTGGTAATTGGCACCATTTATAAAGCTACTATTGTGTATCGGTAATTAACACCCCAGTTTTCCATTAGTTGTGTAATACAATGGCCACAAGCATTGTTCACATTTCAGGATTTTAGAAGCACTCAGGGTTTATTATTGTACAGCAGATTAAGGTTACACGTGTAGTGTTGTGCTCCTGTCTCTCCTTTTTTCTTGAAGGCATACTTTGTGCACATCAAAGCTGCAGTGGTTTGAATCCAGCATGCATGGGTTTTTTTTTTTCTCCTTCACATGGTCACACAGGGATTTTCATAATGAGCATGGCTAACAGATTCTTTTTTTCCCCCCAAGAACAAAATGTTTACGCAGACTTTCTGTAGACTTTGCTGTTTTATTTTTTTTTTTAAATGGCACTAGTAACGTGAAACACATACTGTAGATAACAGACTGAACTCATTCAGCAGGTCCACTCCCACCCTCGCCACACACACACTCAAACTCCCTGCATGCATTGAGAGGAGAACATTTGTCTTTGTCACCTTGTTTATCAGGATCAGCAGACTGTGACACCAGAGCAGAAAAAGCTGGGAAGGTGATGGAGGACATGGCTGCTACAGCGCCAGCCGCCCACATCATCCTGTTAAAAAACATATGGTTAAAACGACGATCTGCAACATCGTCCATGTTGTTTTTCAGTGTGTGTGCACGTATCTGACTTGGGTCTGCACAGTCACGCTTCAGCATTCACAAAACCACACAAAAAAAAGGAGAAAAGATTTGAATGTGGCTTTCTTATGGAGCAGTATTTACTGCAGAAATGTGAAACAGCTGTCCTTAATCTTCATTAAATGGAACCACTGGTCACGTACATGGTCAGCTGTCAGGGGGAATGAAAACTGGACTGATGTAAAAGTTACATGGAATCAGCTATGACTGTACTGTACTGAGTAATATTCCTCAATATGTTCATTAATTTTGTATATATACATTTAGATTAATCAAAGGACAAAATAAATTAATGGCAACATGAATTATCAACTGACTGTTCGCACAAGCATAACAATGTTTTTTTAAAAAAAAAATCCAACTTTCCTGTATTCCAAGCTACCATCTGCTCTAATTGGTGTTATAACAACATTACAGGAGGTGGACAGCAGTTGCCTGTATGGTAAAATACAGATCACTAGTACCATCTTAGGTAGTTGGTACCCATGGTGGTGGATTTGCTTCCCATGTTGCCCAGTGAACATATGGAATGCCAACACAGTGGTAACATCTCACTGTCTAAAAGCTGCTTTCCACATGTTGAATGAATGTACAGTAGCCTTCCACATAAAACAGAAAAAAACACGTCCACACAGATCTCACCATGGCTCTGATCCGAAGCCATACCAGGCCAGCTGCAGGATTTGGAAGCCCAAACCCAACAGAACAGTGTTTTTATTACCCAGAGTTCTCATCAGGAGAGTGAGAAAGAGAGTCTGAGGAAAGAGAGGGAGGAGGAGAATTAATCTGAATTTTGTGTAATTCATTAACATGTATTATTGCAATAAGTAGCAAAAGTAAGTTAAATTTGTACTAGTTGACTAGATTATTTGTCGTTTTACTCTTACACGTAGCCACTTAGCCACATTGTTTATATGTTTCTGTAAATCACTGATAGATGGTAGCTAGCAAGCTCAACAGTTACTGTTGTAACTAAACTGTTTAAGCTGCTTAAGTGCAGAGGCTATTCTGTAAGCTAGTAGCTTCAGGTGGCCTGAAGGAGGGCCAACCATGATCCGCATGTAGTGCAGGAAGCCCAAGATTTGTGATGTGGCTGACAAAGTTGCATATGCAGTATATGGAAATGTGTAAACAAAGATTTAACTTGGACATGTGGCACTTGAAATGACATGTGCAGCTGATGTGGTAATAAATATACTCTGTAGTGTTTGTGCACGAGTTACCTGTGCTACGATGGACAGAATGCCCACTACTCCAATAAAGACAGCAATGGTTGTGGAAGAGAAATGTACGATCTGGAGGGACAGACAGAAATTATTATTATACTTTTTGAGGAGCTCAATAGATGTCAGATCAAATTTCAATTTAGAGCGTGGATCAGAGTATCAAAGCTAAGGAGTATATTGTTTTTTAGGAATTTAGACCAAGCTTCAAATTAAGAGATGTTTTGCAGACATTAAGCAGATTGCAACCTGTAGAAAGGCCTAATTGGTTTGTGGTTAAGTTGACAAAATATAGGATAGTACTGTCAGCATTTAAATATACATTGCTGAGGTCAAAAAATATAATTTTGCATAGAGTAAATAGCAGGGGGCTATTGATCCTTGTGGGACATGTTTATAAGCACAATTACATTAGGAAAGTGATTTGAATGAAAAGCCTAGGATGAATCTACAAAGAGTGCAGCAAAATCCTGCTTTTTATTATGTGACTTAATATTTCAGTACAGCAGCGGTTGTACCAGTTGCTTTACTAGGAGCAGGTCTAAAGCCTGACTGCTGTGGTGGAAGGGCATTATTTGCTAGTTAGTTGACTAGGTCACAAGCAATACCCAACATTGGAACATGCAGGAAAACAGTGGTTTCACTCCCAGGCAGCGGTCTGTCTCACCTGTCTCAGATAGAGGAAGAAGCTGGAGTATTGTCCGGCTTCAGGCAGGTAAGACAGGAACACGGTGATACAGATCAGTAAGACTGTTGGGTCCTGACCCACCTTCCTCAGAGACTAAAGGAGAGAGAGTGAGAGGGATGGACAGAGAGACAGGAAACACAACACCAACGCTGTCAGGTGATCAGTTAGTCCTCAATTAATGCCTGGGACTCCAGGGTCAACGTTACAGGCTGTGAAATGCATCTGACTAATGTCCACTATTTTATTTCATTATTACCCTAGCAGTAACTGACTTCCCTCACTGCTTCCATACCGTTGTCTTATGGCATAATTAAAGGATTAAAATAATGCTACTATGTTGAGGAACACTGAGGTGACTTCGCCCACATCTCCACTCTAACACTGTGCCCAAAAACAGAAGGAAATCAAACATTGAGAAGAGACTTCATGCAACTACAAAACAAAACAAATCAGTCTATAAGTTCATGATTATTATATCATTTGTTATTTGTTACTGACAGCAAAGGGGTCGGCCTGCTCCCAGGATATGGGTGTCCCCCAAGTGTTGAGCCTCATCTTGTCTGGGAGAGATTCGGGCACAGCCAGCAGAATGAAGCATATATCGGCCAGAGCGACCAGTGTCGCCACCAGAACCACCAAGTTGTCCCCGTACCAGGCTGACAGATATGCCCCAATGGCTGGACTCGTCACCAGGCTGGCTGCAAAAGTAGCCGACACCTAGAGCAGTAGGTTTAGAGAGAAATACCTCATTTTTAGAAACTGGGAAACTCAGTAAAGTCAGATAAGCAGTAGAGCTGCTTGCTCGTAGATAAACAGATGTCCAGGTTATTAAAATATCAAAAAAGACCACATTAAATAAGATTCTTTACCAGACCATAGGCTGTACTCCTCTCTCTTTCCTCCGTCACATCAGCAACATAGGCGAAGATGACGGAGAAGGTGACAGAGAAAGCTCCAGACATGGCGATCATAGCAAAATACCACCTGGAGGATGAACAGGTGTTAAGAGACAGCTTCACAGTTTCTTCAAAGCAAGCAAGAACATGAACTGATCATTTAATTTTTTTACTGGGCTCATAAAAATCACTGCACAACTGAGCGCTGTATAAACCGAGAATGAAAGTTTGAGAGAAATGTTTATGTTTCCTTCATATATTATTTGATGGAATGTTACATCGGTCCACACATATCTGAAGATTTTGTGTGCTGCCATTTTTCATCTCCTCAGTGGATACCTGTGACTCTGTTTATGGCATAGACATGAACTGAAAACTGTGAGATCTACCAAGGACTGAGCCTCATCAGAGGGATTGGAGCGCAGGTGAAGAAGACGGTGACCAACAGGAAGGAGCGCCTGCCCCACACGTCCGACAACGCACCAATCAGAGGAGCAGACATGAATGACAGCAGACCCTAGACAGGAAGAGGTGGAGCCAGTGACCACATAACTCTTGTTTGCAAGAGTAAAATAAATGAAACACAATTCCACATCTTATTATTCCAAATCTTTTCAAGTCACAGTCCATGAAACACGATAAATAATTACTGTACTACCCTTTTAAAATGTATTATGAGTCACAAAGCTAAATTTCTCACCTTCACACCCTGAATGAGTCCATTCATCAAGAACGTGTGCTGGGGAAATGTCTCGTGTAAAACCTATGAAAAGAGACGCAACACCAACATTAATGAAACCTACACAGACAGTACAAACTATTTTTGTACCTGGAATCAAGTACTGTAAGAGCAAAACAGAAACTACTCTCTGTTGCATGCGAACCCTCCAGTTACTTTTCAAGTCCAGAGGCTGACTGGTGAAATTCATTTCCATATAGATACCAATCATGAAATTTGGTATCAATGCCCAAAAAAAACCACATTAATGCTTTACTGTGTTTTTTCCAACAAAAACATATTCTGTTTATCAGACAGAGCCCAAGTTTCACAGTATGTGTAAGTATTTAAAGAGTATGTTAGCATGCTGTTTTACCTTAAAAACACTATTTTCAATTATTCTGAAATTCATCAAAATCCAGAGTGACCCCACCACCATCACTTGGTGAGTTGTTGAAGCCACTGTGTCAGCTGCTGTCTACACTGGATTTCCTTCAGTTATGTGTCTCTGTTTTAATTAGCACAGTTGTCTAATGTGAAGCCATACAATTGTGACCCAATTACTGCCTATCACACACTCTTGATCTCTCCATTTAATTCTTAACTATGGCTCTATAAATATTGGATGCCTGGATGGTACAATTAGTGTATACTGTCTTGATAATGGCAAACAAACACCACAGGCCAGGACCAGAAACACTTACTATAATAAAGTGAAAGTACATATAATTTAGGAAACAGTTGAAAACTTGTGTTCAGTACTTGACATTTTCATGTCCCGTCTGCCAGACACACAGTTCATTCAGAACTCAGAAATTCACAGTCAAATGTTCTGGACACTGATCTGGAGAACAGGGCCTGTGTGTTACTCACAGTGAGCATCGGTGTGGTGAGCAAACCCCAGGCGAAGAACTCCAGGAAGATCACCATCACCGCATGATACACACTGGGCCTGCCAATCCCCTGCTGGAGCGGAGACACATACATACAGTTCATAACAATTGCCATTATATTTTAATGTGACCTAGAAGTACAGTTTAGTCATTGAGAGCAGCTTTATGTCTTCTTCGACTCAGGGGAATTTTGTAATAAATCTGTAAAAATAACCCTGATGACATCACTGTGAGGGATTATACTGTATCTGTAACAACTTTAAAGTTGAATGCAGCAGTTTGGTAGAAAAAAAAAACAACAATCAATAAACTGTGAAAAATATCAACCACTGTCTCCCAGAGTACATTTGCACATGCAGACCATTTACTTCTTCCAAATAATAGCCCCAAACTGAAAGACAGTCATTTTACTGAAACCCAAAAGAGCAGCAACTGTTGGGCATTTTTACAAGGTGATGATTTCAGTCAAACAGCTAATCAGTGAATTCACTATTAATCCGCTCTACCTGCTGTGGGGACTACGATCCCAAATTAATTTTGTTCACTTTTGTACAACATCAGGCCTGTTTACTGTTTTGTAATTTTATTTCTTTTCCACCTCTTCATGCTGTCTTCGTGATGTTTGTAGGGTTGCAACTAATGGTTATTTTCATTAGCAAGTAAACTACTGACTGATTATTCAGTCTATAAAATGTCAGATAATGTAAAAATACCCATCACCTTCTGACAGATCTCAAGGTGTTGTACTCGAATTTTGTATGATGTAATCATAAAACCGAGAAAAGCAGCAAATCCACGCAGCCAGAGAATCAGGCGGTGTATTTTGCTTGTTGCTCTAGGTTGTGTTAAATTCATGCATATGTCTGTTTTTTCACGCAGAACGTTAAACATGGACGCGTTAAATCTGCAGGCTCTCCTGCCCTCGGTGTATTTCTGGCTGAGAACTGTTATGTAACATGTAATGGATTCATCCTGACCACATCACCATCACACCACCATCTACGCTGGGCCCTCTGTGCGCACTGCCGTGGCTCCAACGCACTCTCATCTCGGCAAAACGAGCCATTTTGGACCAGATCTGCTTTGTTCGGCTCCAGCTGGAAGTCGTCAGCAGACAATGTGAGCTGTTCGAGCAGCTTTGGGCTGCCTGACGTCTTATTTCTGATCATTCTGTTCTGACCCCGCCATGCGTCACGCGTTTAAAATGTGGTGTTATGTCACACACGGATGCATTATCTTTACACAGATCAGTCTATACTAACTACACAGGGGATTCTGATGTGCACAGTGCGCGTGGTTTCAGTGAATTAAATATACAAACTACAGAATCTGGAAACATTAATTCTACTGGATTATCTCCTGGATTAATGCAGGATAAACAGTTAAAGTCATAATAAAATGTGAGTAAAATGGCGGGTCAGCCACCCACCGCTGTTCCGTCCTTCATGATGATCTTCTTGACCAGCACCACCTGTCCGGTGCCCGCCGGGGGCTCCACCGCCATCTCTTCGCACCTGCCTCGGGTCATGAAGCATCCATGCCGCGTAGGTATCCGCGGTTCTCCAGGTTCTTCCAGGATGTCTCCTTATTTACTCCCGAAGGGGCTAAACCACGCCACAGGATAAGTGCACAATCCAAATCGTGACAGATATTTTTCCCAGCGTCTACCAGCCTAACGGGTCGCAGCTCTCACGGAAAGAACACTGACACCGTCAAGTTGCACAGATCCAGTAGCGCACTTCCGGTTTGGGCTGCGCTTGTTTTCATAACAATCATTACTTACAGAAACATAATATATTGACATGAACTGTGACGACATAGAGAAACCCTGGGGCATTTGTTTAGTTTACCACAACACACATTACATAATTTGGAAAACATGTCCTCGGTTAATATGACAGGAACTTTTAGCTTATGTTTCAAATGGTTAACCTATTTGAACTGTATTTGGTCCACATTCATAAATCTGTTTCCACAGTCACAAATTTATAAGAAAGAAGACAAACCTTTAAGAATTATCCAGTCAGTGAATTTCTGTGGGCAAAATATACCAGTTGCAAAAACATCCCTCTGTTTATTTATGTGTGGTAAATGGTTGTGGGTCCTGCAGCAATGACCTTAATCACTTATTAATTTACTCTTTAAAACACAACAGAATAAAAAATAAAGTGCTTGATAGCAAGATATATTTATGTCTCGGTTTGAAACACTTTCAAAAGGCACTTTATCAACAAATGAAGAAGATTTTGAGTGTAGCCTAGAGACTGTACTACACTAAGGGATTGTTAATTAATTTAGTCTATCGAAGAGCTTAAGGGATTTGTAAGGGATACAAATTATTTATAGGCCTACTCCTGAAGTCATGGCTACCTTAAAAAGATTTGAACTTTGGTGCGGACTCAGGGGATTCAACCTAAAAATACTGATAATTAATATGAGTTACAATACATGAAGAGTTTGTGATTGATTATCAGATGATTTGCACCGAGGAGGTGAAAATGTTTAAAAAGAAATTAAATCATGCACATAGTAAATTAAATATAGGCCATATCAATATATGCCATGAAGTAATCCCATGAACAAATAATAGATTCATTTTAATGGTTAAAACTAAGGTTTTGCTGGAGGCATACTTTTTTTTTACATTTGCCAAATATTTGAAATGCCAAAGGAAAGGTTTTGGAGCATTGTTTTTGATGTTATTTATTTATTTAATTTTCCCACTGTATTAACTTGTCCTGGAATGATCTGATAACTAGAAAAGCAAAAAGTCCAGCAACACTTGCAGTGTTCTGAACAACTTTAATAAGTAGGCCAAGGCGTTTCGGGTTGATACCTTCATCGGGGTCTGTGTGCTTTTGACAGACCCTAACCAAAGGCTTCATTCTGAAATGTGTTGGCCTTCTTATTAAAGTTGCTCAGAACACTGCAAGTGTTGCTGGACTTTTTGCTTTCCTCTTTGTTTTTTCCTTGTCTGTGCAACTTGACAGTGGGTGAAGTTGTGCCAGAACCTCCTTCTGTATAATCTGATAACCAGAAGCCCTTTTTATTGTGCCATAAATTTATTTTGAAAGAAAACTAGCTCCATATCCTATCTCGCCGACAAAACTTGCCGTAGTCAGTGCGCTCCGGTGCGGTCCGGTACGGTCCGGTACGGGTTTTTAAAGACCTGGACCGGGATTTAGTCTGGACGGCTCGTTTCAGAACAGCACAGAACACAGCTCCGGACAATGCGCGTTTGATGTGAACATCTTAATACAGAACGTGTAAAACAGGGCACTGACAAGACGGGTCGGTTACAGCATCTGTTGGCCAGGAGCCACAAGGGGGGAGACTGTGGGCTTCGATGAGTCTCATTAGTCTCAAAAAATAGTGTTTACGATTTGAGGTGTGGTTTTTATTTTGAGAATGAAGCAGTATTCCGGTTGGTCTGACAGTGGCAGACGGAGAACGGATGAGGACATCACGTGTCGGTGGCTGTGGTCGTGGTGTGGTGCGCTCGCGTGTGTGTGTTCTGTTGTGTGAATGATGAAAAAGTGAGTGGTGACTATGGGAAACGTGACCAGCCACCTTACGTCATCAGAAGGTGGCGATTTAAAACGTCTTACTTTTGATTTCTTTAAAGGTCCCCGTTTTAGGCTTTCTCCATAAATTAATAATAAGAATTCAGACATCTCTTATTAATCCCCTTTGGGGTCACAGGAGGAGGGGATCTATTTTATCAGCATGCCTTAATTTACTTACTGAGGATAATCCACCAGTATAACAATACACAGCTACCACACTGACAGTCTAAAGTCTCAGAAGCAGAAATGAGCTGTGTGATCATACTCAGATACACAAATCAGATGTGAGACAGTGTCAGAAGAGACAAGTGCTCAAAAGCCAAATGTTGGTCATTTCCATCAGCACATCACGTTTCTCCTTCTGTCGCCATTGATCTTACACATCTGCACAAATAAGAGTTGTGTAAAGCCCCTTGTGTCTCCAGAGGGAGCCCTGTGATGTTTGAATGTCCTCAGGTGGTGTCACTCCAGTCAATGTGTAGGGCTCTTCTTGTCTGTTAGCCACTAATAATGAACCCAGGCTTCCTAAATGTTCAGTTTCATTATGTAGGTTCCACAGTTTGACAAGAAAGAAGAATTACCATGAGCTGTGCACAGCTGAGTCAGCTTCTTTTCTCAGCTTGTTTTAGTTTAATACTGTGACGACCGCTGGCTCGGTTGAGAGGAGCTGGCCTGACCCTGTCCTATACTTGACAGTTAACTAGCCAGCGGTGTTCCGGCACCTGGCTTAACAAGGAGGAGAACACCTGGTTTGTCTTTTTGTGGTTTTATTGAACGCAGTATGGAGACAAATGAAAATGCTGTCTAAACTGGCACCATGTGCTCTCTAAAAAATAAAGAAAGAATAAGCAACACATCTCCCAGAACCCGACCAAGTCCTGTGCCAAAACGAACAACCTGACACACCTACCTGTTACCCCTCTTATACTCTCCCGTACTTGTTCCTCCCCAAACCCCACATTGGACAGAACAGCGCGGGTATTTCACCGGAACAAACAGTAACCAATACATGCACAGCTTTCAACAACAGTGTCAAACCCATTTGCACACAACAGAACACACGAACATCAGCGGCCGGTCAGGGTCGCCACAATACTTTTTAGTCACCTGAAATTAAAACTACAACCACAACTGTCAAAAAGTTTAACATCATTTGTGTAGATGAATTTAACTTTTTGATTCCTTTTTTCTTTTATCTCTTGACACCTTGGTTGGGAACCTCACCAAGATCTTCCATGCTGGTGGTGGGTGGAGTCCCCACCTAAAAATACCTGGGCCTACTACTGCTCAAAGTAAATATCAAAGGGAGAAAAGGAGCAAGTTATGTGTTTCACAAAGAGCAGTAAGGTCCTAACTGATCTATCTAATGATGGTTCTGTTTTTTTCTTGTCATTTAGTCCGACATGCAGCAGCTGCTACTATGTGTTGTTGTCGCTGATCATGCCGAATATTTATGTTCTATTTGAATGATTTTATGATATTATTTTATGATTTATCACAAACATCGGAACCCCACAGGAATGTGTCCTCAGTCCCATCCTCTACACCCTGTTTGCCCATCATCCTAAAGTTCACAGACGACACCACAGTGATAGGTCGCATCACTGGCGAGGACGAAGCAGCCTACAGGAGGAAGGTGGCCGGTCTGGTGTCATGGTGCAAGGACAATAATCTCAGCCTCAACACAGACAAGACGAAGGAGATGATAGTGGACATGAGGAAGGAGAGGAGATCTCATCAGCCACTGTTCATCCGGGGGCCCAAAGTGGAGAGGGTGAGCAGCTTCAAATACCTAAGCATCCTGTAATGGAAATTTTCAGTATATCCATTTATATTGTTCATTTACATATTAAACTATAGTTTGCTAACAACTGTGGCAATCTTTCACACACTGGACATGTGAACTCTGTTTTCTGCTGACACATTGAATGCCTGAGGTATCTTTGTTTACTGCACAAGCAACTGTAACATCTGCCATCCTTGAAAGTTTCTCCTGTGAACCTCTCAGTGTCTTAGATACCAGGAAACTCTTTGAACACAGATGTATGATTGTTCTCAGTGTACACTCCTTTTGTGTGATGGTACTCTCTGCTTTATATTGAATTGAACCTTCCTTACTCTTTGAGTCTCTGTAACATGCCTCTCTGAGTGCTGGTGTAGACAACTCCTTTCTGCAGAAATAAGTTATACAGAAGACATATCCATCTCAATTCTCTGTATTTCTCGCTCACTGATGGTTGTTCATATATTATACAGAGTTAAGGAAAGCACAATTTTTTTCCTTAACAGCTCACATCAGTGAGGACCTCACTTGGACACATAACGCCTAGGATCCTTTGCAACTTCTACATCTGCATCATTGAGAGCATCTTGACCAGCTGCATCAC